CAGTAAGTTTTTTCATCTTTTCACGGTGTATAATTTACCTTTTCATCATTACTTTATAGAACTGCTTCTTGTTTTGAGCACGGACGGCGTTTTTTCATCCGTTAAACAATAATCGCTCTCAGGAAGCCCAAAACTATGAACTCGTTTCTTTTAATGGTGATTTTAGAAGAACGATGATATTTAAGTAAAATAAAATAAGGTGACAATATCTTGGCTTGTGGACAAAATATTTGTCTTTTCTTTTTGAGAATATTGGAAATGATTCTAAGGCACAGAAGGAGCCCCGCCACTGCAAATAAATGTCTTAAATAGAAAAATATATCTACACACTGCAGCAAAATAACTTTTTATCTTCGATTTTTGTTATCCCATTTCAGACAGACCACGAGTCATCTTTAACCCTTACAGTATAATCTGCCTTCTCATGCAATCCTTCAACAAACGATGCTCTAGGGAATGACAAGTGGTCTGAACTGGGAAAGAACGAGTTAAAGAGTTCTATTGAGCAGAACCGTGGGAGGGATTTTTATAGAAAAACAAGTACGTTTTATAATGATTGTCTATTTAGCAATTATTCTCCAAAGGCGAAGTGAATATTGAGGCGAATAATATTATTGTTTTAGCATATACCAACTTGTGTACAGAGTAACATTTTTCCATTATTTCTATATACAATAATTCAATAAAACAAACAAACAGAAACTTTTAGTTTGCGTGACAAATTCATGCAAAACTTTTAGCAAAACGTTTAGGCCATACTTCGTTGCCTTTTTAGTATTGATAGGAATGGCGTTTACTTTAATTTTTTCAATTTCCTCATCGGAAATTGTAGCAAAACGATGGCGGCAGATGATATTTTGTTGCCGACTCAATATTCCGAGATTCAGAGGTGAATATCGTACAATATTCACCTCCAATGAACCAATGAGCGCGCGCGTTCTAAGGAAGTACACAAGTTGGTATATGCTAAAGCACTATATTTCTGCCTGACTTTCCTATTTGCTAGTATTATCTAGCTGGAGCACAAGAAGTTTACCTTTGATTGGAAAAAAATCAAACAGCGATTTTTTTCTAATGAATATTTGTTTGATTACTTTTATCTGAAGTGGGCTTTCTGTGTTAAGGCTGATAATGCGATATCTCGTATTGGTTGAGTGCAGCACTTACCATGAGAATAAAAGGACAAAAGACGTGGCCACCATGTTGGTTGACACAACAAAATACACCAAGAGCAAATTTAAGGTCAGATGAAAGTCAACTAAAATGAAGGCTACGACGTCGCATGCACCCAAGAATAATCAGAGCGCTGCGATTTAATAGCTCAACGCAATTAGTTGGAGCAAATTTCATATGAATATCTAACGTTACGTGGTGTGCCGTGACCTTGGTATTTTGTCTGATGGATGATTCGAGAGGTAACATCGCACAATCTGATAAGTTAGTACAGATAGAGCAGTTTTCGCATGACTATGAAAAACACAGTGCCCTTAGCGTGCCGTGCCGTGACCGTTACGTTTTCTAGAATTTTAGTTGGCTGACTTTTGACGTGACCTTGGCGTGACCTTATCAGCGGCGTGTTTCGGGTATTTGATTCGATGGAGAGTAAAAACTCGCGCATTGCGATTGGTCTGGCATATCAGTTGCCGTGTCACGACCGCGTTCGCGAGCCGCCATCTTTTCGCAGTAATACGAAAACCGCTCTACCGTACGAATGTGCAGTTTGATAATCATATGACACTTATTCTCAATAGCTCCATAACGCGACCATGTACCGTAACATTTACACATCTATAATTCATTCTACCTCACTATGACATACTGTCTACTGGCATATCCATTTGCTCGTCTCTGCTCTTGGAACTGGTTATTTCACGTCGAACCTCGGGTGTTATCTGCAAGAGAACAAGAAAAGACGATGATAATGGTGTGACAACGACGCTCGATATAGAAAATAAAAATTTGCAAACGGTTTATTCTTTTATTTTTTGGCAAGACAAATAATCTTGGTGTAGCTAAATTTCCTTGCTTAGCGCTACATCATTTTCCATTTGGCAGTTCAAAATTGTTTTAGTTAAATTTTAGTAAAATTTGACGTGCATTTTTGCTATTTACAGACTGCCAAATTTGAGCCTGTGTATTTAGAAATTAGTCCTCGTGCCGAAATGGCTATCGAATGGGCTATTGATTCTTATAAAATAGCTGTCATAAATCTCGCGTTCTGATTGGTTGGGAGCGCATGCTTTATGAGAGAACATAGCACGCGCGCGCACGTTCAGTTGCGTCAAAATAACGGTTTTTGTAATTTGTATTTTATAAAAGAAATAAAAAACTTGCTTGCTGTGCTGTGTGGAGTAATGAAGCACTTGGGGATTGGCAGAACACTCGAGAAGTGTCAAGAAGCACTCCCCTACGCGTCGTGCTTCTCCTAACACTTTTCTTGTATTCTGCCAACCCCGCACACAGCATTATATATTACTGTATTTCTTCATTATAAAGGATTATCGGATCCCCAGAATTCCCACAAGGAATACAATACCTGGTTGTGGATGTGTACTTTACAGAGCTCAAGAAGACTGTCTTTCTGCTCGCTTGAGACATCTTCTTTATATCTAAGGGGGCAAAATCCATGCTTTTAGTTTGAACTGTGAACACGACTGTTTCGCCTGTATTTGCAAAATGTCTTGCATTGAAGTATAATAGTTTTTATCCAACTTCTTCAAAAGAAAAAAAGGAAAAAAGAAAGATTCTGTAATAATACAGTAACCAGCTGGGCCCGGTTGCACGAATCTTGGATAGCACTTTCCGGCGGATAAATCCTTATTCATTGGATAAGTCAATGCTGTTATCCAATAAATTGATCCACTGGATAAGATTTATCCGTCGGATAGCGCTATCCACCCTTCGTACAAACGGGCCCTGATCTGAGACCGTAACTTAGAAATAACGTCACTGCAAAACTGAGGTGTCTTGAACCGTGTGAAAAATGGCCTGCGAAAAATATAAGACATGCCCGCCATTGCCGTTGCACTCTTTTCCTTTGGTGGCCTGGAAATACATAATTTCAAGAGGACAGTGACGCCTTGAACAGTTTTGCGAATTTTCTGTATTCTCATTGGCTAACATTTTTCTAGTCGGATTAGCTGAAGGAACCTGCCTTCAATAATTACTAACCTTTGTACAAACGTTAGTAGACACTGATGCCATAGGACCGGGAGAGTTCGCTTGTCAGACAAGAAACTGGAGCAGTGCAACATAACAGATTGGTTAATTGATATGAAGGTAAGGAACCAAAGAAAGAAAGGGGTAGTCGAGTTCGTGCATAAATACCGTAAAGGTGCTTACACACGGTGCAACATTGCATGCAACATTGCACGCAGCAGGACTGTTGCAGCGTGTCTACCCCAAACTCGTTGCACGCAACGTTGCATGCAAAAAAAATTTGAAGTTGAATCGCGCTCCACTCTTGCAACATTGCACGCAACAAATTCGTGTGAACATGGCTGCAACATTACCTGCAACATTTTGAAATTTCCAGCCAATCAGCTTGAACCAAATTTATAACTGAGAATATATGGACCGCGTAGCACTTATGAAATACATGAAGATATAGAAACATAGATAAGTTGTAGTGCTTGGGAACGAGGTTAATCCTCGTTTCCCAGCGAGGTCGGAAATTAATTTTTCCGGATTTAATTCCAAGGTTCTTTCGCCCGGAATAACCTCGTTCCCCAGCACTACAACTTATCTTTATTTCTATATCTTCAAATTTATAACTGCCAACCAAATATCTTAATATAGCAGGCTGACACAAGCGATGTTGCGTGATTTTGTTGCAATGTGTGTCACCCCGATTCAAATTTGTTGCTTGCAATATTGTGTGCAATGTTGCACTGTGTTTCAGCACCTTAAACCTCTGTAAATAACCCCCCTCCCCGAATTTGAACTCTCCCAAAAACAAGACTCCTAAATTCGAAATTCTGTAAAGGTCTTTCTCTTTAAAAAAATCCCTCAAAAAAAAAGAAACAAGCTCTCTTGAAAATAAGGTCACCAAGAAAATACACTGAGCAAATGTAATATTATGCCACTGAAGGGTTTGTTTTTGAATGTTTACGGTAAGGTAGGGTGGGTATTGAGCATTATTATAAAAGCTGCCAAGCTCGTGTAATATTGAAAACTGTTGATAATTTCTGATAAATTTTGCAACAAAATATCACTTACCGTAAAAAATGATAGACCACAGCATCTATTACTCTGTAGGGAAGGGCATATTTTTTATCGAAAAACATCTTGAGGAATATAGTGTTTGCTCCTGGAAAAAAGAATTATCATCATGAGTATGCACATATCAAGAGTAGCCTTCTCATTGATAGATGTTTTCTATAGATGGGCTTCCTGTTGTGAGTGGGAACAGAGAGAGGGTGGGAAAATGTAATGTTGAAGAGAGTCAGTATATGGTTTTGTGTTTTGGTTTCAACGCCTTATCAGTCTAAAAATTTACTGCGTAGACACAGGTACTGTAAAGCACCATCTGAAAAATACTAGAGTGATGAAATAAAAGGCAGGAATCATGTTTTATGATGGCAATTATCCATAAGCTATGTAGGTTAGCAGGGATAAAAACAACACCTTGTCAGTCGCCAGTCATGATGAACTACCAAATTAATTTTAGCTCAGTCCTACCTCATTTCTGGCTCAAGGCAAAGATTTGACTGGACAAGTTCTGGCCAGAACGTTTCTGACGTTGCCATTATTTCCTGATAGGAATCTTATTGCATTTTGTGTCTATTTATTTTTTCACTTTCTTAGGCTGTCTTTCTTTTCTTGTAATTTTCAATGTCAGTGTGTCTCAATAAATTTATGAACACAGATACCGTAGCCTAATACAAAAAAAAAACCTGGGTACCCCCCTAATAGGGCCAATATTTACCTGTGTAGTTCATCTCTGCTATCTTCAGCATTACAGCACTTGAATGTAGTACTGGGATACTTGTCTTAGCAAGAACACTACTGATGATGATAGCTTCACGAAGAGTACAGTCACCTGCCTAGAAAAAAACAGTGATATATTAAAATTACCATTAGACACAGGAAGCCCAGCTTGGTGATGCTAAATCAGTAAAAAGATCACGTTTGAATTTATCACGGTATTAAGTTACGCRTTACAAACACTGGTGTTCTATTACGTAGTGACCGTTTGTATTCTCGGTTTTCACCCACGTGACTTGGTGCATGACAACGGTTGCTAACCGCCATATTGGTGCACAACATAGTGTAAACAAAAGAGATTCATCACAATCGAGCGACTAAAAGTCAATATTTTCAGCACATTTTCTATAATGGTTCTTTGTTTAATGGTAAATTG